CGCTCTCTCCGTGCCCGCCGCGCCCTCCCCTTTCCTCTCCCCTCCCTCCTCCACGCCCGCGTCCCCTTCCTCTATCGGCCATGCGCGCGTGCCGCAACAGCTCCGCGGCCGCTTTTTCTGCCCTCTTCTCTTCGCGGACTTTCGCCCTCGCAGCCTTCGCGTCGCTCTCCGCCTTGTCTGCGCGTTCTTTTTCGGCAACAGCGTCCAGGAACTCAGGCGCGGTAATGTTGCCTCCGTCGGGAAGGCCAAGCGAGCCCCGCGAGGTCGCCATCTTCTTCGCGCGCTTCCTTTGAGTCAAGAGGCCACCGAGTAACACCGTGCCTACTCGGATTCCCGTGACGGTGTGCCCTTGCCCCCTCGGCACCCTGAGGGCCCTTTCTCCGATGTCTTTTTCCAGCTGCTCGTTGAGGGCGGCCATGGTGACATCCTGTAGGGGTGGGCGCTCGGCTCGCCGCTCTTTCTTGTTCGCTGTGCCCTTCAGCCGGCCCAGCGCCCGCTCCTTGTTCACAGGCCACAAGCCCGCCCCAGCAAATGATGATTTATTTATCTCCGGTGTAAAGCTCAGTTTCCAAGCATCCGCGATCACGCCGGGCATGTCGCGTTTCAGCGGCAACAACCCGCCGGAGTTGTGGTAGAAGGATGCCAGAACTCTGGTCACCGATTTCTTAAAGCGTCCGAAGGCGACGACATCCAAGGGCTGGGTGATGTGCGACGTGTGGGAGGGTAGCTGGATCAAGATGATTTTGAGATTCATGGCCAGCCTGGTTACCTCCACTCTCACGTGTGATGAATGTCCATCGAGCAAGAGTATGTGGGGTTTTCCGTCGAGCAACCCTCGTTCGCCGAACTGCTTGTGGAAATCCTTCAAGTAGGCGATGAATACGTCTCCCTGCATGAACGAAGAATCCGTACAGGTGTACCTTGCACCCTCCGGACCGTTTCGCTCTACAAACCAATCGGCCTGAAGTCGGTGCCCTTTGAAGATAATGGTTGGTGCCCAGGTGTGACCATCAGCGCTGATGGTAACGACCACGGTGGTAGTGTTCTCTCGCGAGTTGGAGCGCATCGAACCAACCACCTTCTGACCTGATTCCGCAAACGCCTTCGTCGTCTTGGTTCCTTGGGGGGTGTTACCTGCAACGGGCACGCGTATGTGAGGGTCGGGGGGGGGTGAGGGCGCTAGGCTAGTCTAATGGATAGTCAAAATTACCAGCACTAGTATACGCACGCCCACAAACATTTACAGTCAATATCGTGCGCTCCAAGCAACGGGGGTGGACGGGGGGGGGGAAACGCGGTGGCTCTTTTACTTATATTTTCGTGCGGCGAGGGCTTTCAACCTACGCAGTCTACCATCATTTTGGCGGTAGCTGGACGAGGCAACCGGGAGAGCAAAAGCAGGGTGCTGTGTAGACTAGTCTAGTCTAGTCTAGTTTTTTCATGTGTTGGCACATGCGTCTACTAAAAATCGCCCTTAGTTACACGTTCGTCGCCGCAGGTTCCCTCGAACTACCAGCTGAAGACGATGCGATGCAGCTATGAAAATATTGAATTCTAGACTACCATAGTCTACAGCAGTGTCTGGAAGCAGTGCTGTACTCTACTTTTGTGTCTGAAACTACTGCTGTAGCCTACTTTAGACCAGAGCCAGCGGCAATTTCGGCAATTTTGAGCAGAAATGCACGGCCTCTGTAGTCTAGACTACACTGCAGCCGTACGTACATGAGGAGGCCAAAATTACGCTGCAAGGGGGCAGAACTCTGCCTGATATTTTTCGTCTGACATGTTTCGTTGTCTTTGCACAGCAGTCACCCACGCAGTTTCTACTGCTGCCGCACGTCTACTACTGCTGTAGACTAGTCTGCACTATTATAGACTAGTCTACGAGCGAATCTTCACCTGTCTCGTCCGTATTGTGCACGTGGTTGGCCTCCGGTTTGACCTCGTCGAGGAGAGCTGCCCATCTCTCGTAGAACTGCACCATGCGAGGCTCCTCGTCCTCGGTGATCCTGTTTGCCTCGTAGATGCGGGTCGAGCGCTCCGCCACCCGTAGGTACCTACGAAGGAAGCCCGCAAGCCAATCTTTCCCCGGACCCTTCTCTGGATCCCAAGGGATCCGCCGACCGTCGTTGCAGAGTCGTCGCACCGCATCTCTGAGAGCTGAACCCGATCCACAGCCAAAAAGTTGCGAGCAGCAAACAGCAGAATATCTTCCAGCGAATCCTCCTCTTCTTTGCTCAGGATGGTCTCGGGACCAACCTTCGCGTTCATGGCCACCTTGCCACGGCGGCGGGCTTCGATGGACGTACGACCTACCCCAAAGACCTCAGTAGCCGTCCTAACCGACATGCCATCATCTATCGCTGCACAGGCCTTCCGAACCTGCTCCTCGTCCACCTTGCGCCGGGTCATGCTTAGCAAAAATCCCAAGGAAACGACGAAGGTGGCTAGCAGCAGGAGCTGTGGTGGCTCCCTCGGCTGTATCTCGGGGTAGAATGCTTGGCGTGCGACGCTGTGGTGCTCAAACGAGAGCTCCGGTTGCGCGGAGCAATTCAAAAAAAAGATCAGGGGGCTCCGAAAATTCAGTGGGGGGATACCCCTGTTGTAAAAAAAATGGCCTTAAAAAAAGTGAAACAAAATCTTTATCCGCAAAATGTTTGAAAATTTAGACATTTTTTCAAAGATTCGGTGACCATAAGCATGGACCTTAATACCCGGGTGGCCGTTATTACCCGCCCCTACTCTTCTGATGATGGCTCTAGCATTTTTGTGACCACGGACCGAGTCTTTATTTACTAGATTTTTGGGATTATTAGCAACTACTAACTGACACGAGTTTAATGTGAAGAAAAACAACAAACAACAACAAAAACAAAGGGCATCCTGTCTCCGACAGGACCAGTAACGTCAGTTCCCAGCTTCCCAGCTGATGATGGATTGCGCCGCATCGACGGATTGCGCCGCATTTGTTCACGTCGCCGCGTCGCCGCCTCTGCTCTCTGCTCGGTTTGTATCCATCCCTGCTTCTGCCACTACTCCTGTATTCTCAAGCGTGCGAAGCGGTTGAGCCGTAAGTACTGTAGTACATGGGAAAGGAAGAACCACTATAGGCGGCAGGACACAATGACGAGTGGTATGAAGCTCGTTCTCCCGATGGTGGTGCTGAATATGGGTGGAGAGATGGTCAATATTCTCCATCAGCGGTTGAACGCGCAGAACGTGGTCGAAGACAAGAGAACCGCGGTGCTTCGCGACGTTATCAGCACCATGTATGCTCGCCAGGTGCTGCCTGCTCTATGTTCGTTTTCATCCGTCAAAAGTAGCTACCCCCGGGCAACGAGTTGGGGTCTCGCACCGGTCGGCAGTCGCCGTGAAGATCTTGGATATTGTTGCCGTACAAGAACGGGTCGCGGTGCGCTGGGGTAATTCGCAGTCAGATTTTTGCGCTTGGCCTTGCGACGTTTGCGCGTGCTCAAGGTATGGCCAATACCCTTGGAGGAGTGCTGTGCGGCCGACACATCGGCATGCAAATTTGTAGTAAGATGTATCGCCCCCGTCTTTTGACTCAGCACAGCTACTTGCAATGTAACACTCTACAACAACAGCAGATGGCTGAGCATGCTCAAAGCATCGCTACCACCGCCCGCACAAAGCTCACACTTCCCTCCCCTCGTCGCTCCTACTAAACGGTAGTTCGTGGAAGAGCTTTTCAAGCCGCAGGACATGTACAGCGAAAAGGCCACGAAAGAGGTCTTCTACAAGGTGTGTGAAAGGGCTTACACTCGTGGGCATTGACTCAACCTATTTTCCGTCCAGAGCTTAATCTAGATGCATGCCTGGTTCCATACGTGCTGCCCGCTTACGATCAAACGAAAACACGAAGAAATCACGCATGTATTTTCTTCATTGGCCGTAGCAGAGGGACGTGTATGTACACGCCACACGTATGTTGTACGCTTTAGGAAGCGTGTTGCTCGACGAAGCGTGGGCAAGATAACAAATGGCACGTGTTTGAAAACTACCCTTAGATGATGGTGGCAGCTACATAATATGAAGGGTCGTGAACCTTCAGGTAGCACTTTTTTTTTACACGTTTACTAGCTAAAAGTACCGCTAATTTAATGCCGCTGTTGTTGTTGTTGTTGTTGCCCGTTTCGCATGCGACTGATCTGCGGGAAGTGCAGCTTGCACACTCTTCCATTATGCGGCTAAACGAATCGAGCATGAGCAAGCTCTTCGACCTCGTCACCATGGGCGTCAAGTACCAGGTACCACACAACGCTATGGTGTCCCACGGGGCCCACCACATTCAACGTAATAGGTCGTACGGCATGCGTGCGTCTGGTAGTTGGTGGCATCACAGGTTCATGTAGTGTAGAAATTATCGTTGAGAGGCCCCGTGTGCACTTTGTGTTGCTCGGTAGAAGCGCCCGATAGTACCCAGGTGAGGCGCATCATGATTTGAAGCAACAGTAGTAGCCAGATGCGATACCCGCACAACGAACGAACACGAACACCACCTTACATGAAATATTGTGTGCCACGTGCGACTAATTGCTTTTTTTCGTTGTCGTCTTGGTTGGCAGGTTTTGTCTTGTGCCCAGCCTCAGCAGCTTCTGCAGGTGACGCTCAACCACTTGGAGACTATAAAACAAATGGTGCCTCACCTCGCTTCCCGAGTCGACGCAGTTATCGAGGTCGGTGCCCACCAAACAAGTTTTGCTCGTCTTCGTCATTGCTGACTGTACCACCTCGAGTTTTTGACCAAACTTTCCAGCCCTACGGATGTCTGTTTCATCATCTGTCTTGCGAGAAGTTGCAAAGTTTGGGGGGTGAATGTAGAACCCATACACACGAAGAATTCCGAGCATCTCAATTCCCTTTGGAAGATAACGAGTTTCAGACGCCGCCGAGGCCTGCGGCGAAACCCTGGTGCTGTGTTCTTTGCTGTGTTCTTTGCTGTGTTTTTGTTGTTTTTGCGGACCTGCTGGTGTGCGCGCAGGGGAGCATGATTCGCCAATGAGAACAGAGACGGGGCCGCGGTGACGCTGGTGATAGTTGTGAGCGTGGCGCAGTGCGGTAGAGAGTATCTTCAATCCGATTCGTGGAGATTCTAGAGAAAAATATCGGAAAGACTTCGAGCAAGTCCCTCGCCCGCAGAAGATAGTCTCGAACGTGGCGGGCCAAGGTGGCTTCCTACAATCGCACACGTGTTCTCGAAGCACAGCCCAGAGCTAAGACACGCACACAGAATCGGATTTCGGTGCTTTGCCCCAGCCCCCCTCCCACCGAAAGGTGCGGCCTGTCAGGAAAATCGTGGGTAGAGACCACCAGTAGTCGGACACGGTTTGACCTTTGAATACGATTGCAGNATCTCTCCTTGGCATGTATTCTCTTGTTTTAGAAATATTCCGGAAGCATGATAGGTCAAGGTTGACCGGGACATCTATGTAGAACGTGTGTTACTTCTGAAAGCCTTCTGGAAACTTCTGGTTCCTCCTGTAGCCTCTGAAAGCCTTTCTGGAAACTTCTGGTTCCTTCTGTAAGC